GCTTGCGTATCCCATAAAGATACACCTTCTTGTGTTCTCCTCCAGTTTGGATCTCAACTGGCCTGGGATTTGAGCAAAACAAACACAGCCAAAAACCTTAAGGTGGTTTAAGGAAGGTTTTCTACTTGAGAATACTTCAAAGGGTGTCTTGTCCTTCAATGCTCTTGTTGGACACCGGTTGAGAAGGTACACTACGGTGTTGACTGCTTCTCCTCAGAACTTGTAAGGAAGGTTCTTCTCATGTAGGAGACTCTTGGCCATCTCCACGATAGTCTGGTTCTTCCTTTCTGCCACTCCATTCTGTTGAGGAGTGTATGGACATGTGATATGCTTCTCAATGCCAAGGTTGTTGCAGTAGTCCTCAAACTTTGCTGAAGTGTACTCTCCACCCCGATCACTTCGAATTTTATTGATCTCCGGTTCTGTTTGTCTTTCCATCATTGCTTTGTACTTTTGGAAGACGGTGAAAGCTTCTGATTTGAGCCTTAAAAAGTAGACCCAAGCCATCCTGCTAAAGTCATCAATAAAAGTGATAAAATATTTGTTGCCGGCTAGGGACTCCGTCTTCATTGGACCACATAGGTCCGTATGGATCAATGCCAAAGGCTTTGTTGCCCTCCATGCGGCTTTGTTGCCCTCCATGCTCCTTCCTTTGGGATCTCGCCTCAGTGATGCTTGCCTTTCATGCAACTGGAGCAGACACCTTCAACTCCTTCAATGGTTGGGAGGCCATACACCATTTCTCTGCTTTGAAGAGTTTTGAGGCTTTGGAAGTTGAGATGCCCGAACCTCTTGTGCCATAACCAGGAGAAGTTCACCTCTTCGACCTTTAGAGCTTGAGTGTTCAAGTAGTGCAGTGAGAGAGGAAAACTTCTGTTGGGTTGCATCTTGACTTTGGCCACCAAATTGTTAAAACTCCTATCATCATAGATCTTCACTGCTTGATCACCAAAATCTAGAAAACAACCGTTAAGGAGCATTTAACCTACACTTAACAGATTTTCCTCTAGACCCGGTACAAGCATTACATCCTTGATGTATCTTTTTCCTTTTACAAGCATTACATCCTTGATGTATCTTTTTCCTTTCTTTGTATTTACAGCCAAGATACCCTTTCCTTCAGATTTTACAATATTCCCATTTCTTATCTTAACACTACCAAGATAGGATGTGTCTAAGTCTATCAACAATGACCGGTTCGCGGTCATGTGGTTACTATAGCCACTGTCAATATACCAAAGACTACCATATACTATCTTTTCCTCCATGACAAGCAAAGAAAACATTACCTTCACCGTCCTCTTCTTGGTTTGCAAAGACTTGCCGGCAGTTTTGGTTTTGATTTCCTTGAGTCCTGCACTGCTCTTTGGTATGCCCAAATCTGGAGCAGTTGGTGCACTTGGGCTTCTCCTCAAACCAGCACTTCCCTTGATGAGACTTGCCGCAAGTTCTACATGTGGATTTGCTACCTTGTTGGGAGTTGCCACTTTGTTGTTGTTGTTAAGGCTTTGGAGCAAAATTAGGCTTGCCTCCTTTCTTCTTCTTCTTTTGCTTCTGGCTCTATTGTTGATTTAAGCTCATGTTGAAGCTTTGGAAGGCTCTCTCCATGGTAGAGGCTTCATTCCTCTTCTCAAGCTTTTGGTCAAACGCCTTGATGGATGCGATTGCCTCTTGTAATGAAAGCTTCTCCATATCTTTTGTTTCTTCTATCACACTTATAATGAGGTCATATCTACTAGAGAGAGAAATAAATTTTTTTAAACTACTCTTTGATTTGTTACATCTTCACCATATGTTTTTAATTGATTTATAACATTGGTAAATCTAGTAAGAAAATCATTGAGTCTTTCTTCTACTCTCATAGAGATTTGCTCAAACTCTTTTCTAATAGTTTGAAGCTTAACCGCCCGTACCTTTTCACTTCCATGATACTCTTCTTGGAGGATGTCCCACGCCGCCTTTGCTGTCTCCTCGTTGGAGATCTTGGGGAAGATGGAGTCGGAGACAACATTTTGGATCAGCCCGAGGGCTTTGGCATCCCTCATGTAGTTGAGCTTTAACGTCTTCTGCTCCGCCGGGGTGAGAGAGTCTTCGTCTTCTGGCACCTCGAAACCTTTCTCCATCAGCTTCCAAAGGTCATGCGCTCTGAATATCGTCCTCATCTTGATCTGCCAAAAGTCGTAGTTCTCCCCGGAGAAGATCGATATTCGTATCTCGCCAGAGGTAGGTTTTGGGTCGGACTCAATGACTATTGGGTCAGCCACTTGAACCCGAGATGAAGTTGGAGAATCGACGGTTGTATCGGTCATTTTGAGGAGGCTATTTGGAAGAGTTTTGGTAGTGGATGTTTGTGTTTTTATAGAAGTAGGGTTTCTTTACACTCAGTTGTCGTAACGAAGCTCTGATACCATGTTGTAATTTTGAACCGAGCAGTGAAGAAAAACTTTGGCTAAGGCTAGTATCATAGAGAATTAGAGAGAGAGAGAGAGAGAGAGAGAGAGAGAGAGAGAGAGAGAGAGAGAGAGAGAGAGATGTAGAAGAAGATAGAGAATTTGGTGCTTTTGTTTTTTTCATTCATAAGTTTATATAGACTTATACATGACCCTTCATATTCTACACATTTACTTTCATAGAATACAAAAAGTCATCTATTAGAACACTACCACACTTATTATACTTTGACTCTTAGAATTCCCTTCCACCTAGGATATCACACTATGGCTCTTGAATTGTTTAGGTTGCTAAACACTGATTAGTTCAACAGGGCAGCTCGTCTATCCAATGTATTATCCTAAAAAACAGGGGAAAGTGACATGTATATATCTCAAGGATATATTTTCCTAACTATAGTACGGTTGGTTGCACCATAAAACTAGTTATAAACATGGTTTGGTATGCTAATCCACGCTACTTTCTCCAAATAATTTTAATTTAATTTTATTTTAAAAAAAAGTGTGCTGGTGACCAGTCTAGTGTTGGTTGGTGAGGTAACCCTTTTTATATCAGCAGTTGTTACTACTGATGATATTTCAGTCGATTAATGACCATAAAGTAGTAGTTGGCTAAATATCTGAGTTCACAGGAATTACAACACAATCCAAGGACTTTAAATCTTTTCATGTGGGCGGCTAATTAATCCGTACTAGTATCCTTGTTAGTGCAATTAGATGGTAATAACATCAATCTCAATCATAATTAATTGCCTTTCTTTAACTACACAATTTTGCTATTGATATTGAATGAAATATTAGGTACATTAGCATATTATTAAACTAAGGAACAGAAGTCGTAGATGGGCTTGAAAAGGGTCAGAATTAGGAATTTAATTAATATATTTTGTATGGGACAAACAGAGATTCCATTGGTTTCCTTGCGCAGACGAAGCCTCAGGTGACAACCAACTAATTATACTGTTATTCTTTAATTCTTATCCGCATTGCTCTAGAACACTTGTTCACGCACTTCCCAAATACCTGTCATGTATATTAAGCCCCAAAACAAGTTTTTATGCGCTCTTCTATGTGTGCATATAAAAGAATCAAATAAAAAAATGTTATTTAATTATATATTTGAACAAATTTAACGAGAATTGACAAATTTAAGATATATGTATAATTTCCTCTTTTGTAGCTACTTTTTTTTTCATCCAGCATGGTCACACAATCAAGTACTGTGTGGAGCAATTAATTCATAGATATTGCTTCAAAGCCGGTGGAAAAATAATTATAAAAGCGTCAAGTATATTTAAGTAGTACCATTAATTAGTATATGCATAATTTACCAAAATATATGATTGCGGAAATTTAAAAAATAATTTAGAATTGTCTACTATGTTAAAATTATATATATATATATATATATATATATATATATTGAGTTAACTGAAAGCCAGTTATGACAATCATAAGCGTGACTAAAGCATTTAATATTTATTATTATATATATATATATTATATATATATATATATATATATATATATATATATATATATATATACATATATATAGAGGAATATGGGTATGCTTGGTACCAAGCACAAAATTTGTGCTTGTAGTGAGGTGGCATATTATCTCCACTCATTCAAATGGGGGGACACATATTCACATGGGTTTAAATGTGGTCCCCTAATTGAATAAGTGGATGGGAATGAGACACATCACTACCAAGCACAATTTTGTGCTTGGTCCAACTGATACCCATTTTTCTCATATATATTATATATATATATATATATATATATATATATATATATATATATATATATATATGAGTTAACTGAAAAGCCAGTTATGACAATCATAAGGTGACTAAAGCATTTAATATTATTAGAAATTATGAAAACTTTTTGTAGTATCTAATAATGAGATGTTGGCTTATAAAGGGTTTATTGCAAAAGCAAATTAAACACATGCATTATGACGGTGGGCACCATCTTTTACTGAAAGCTGTTGGAGATGCTCTTATAGCAAATAGTGGAGGCTTCAAACTTGAGGTAGGGGCCGTAGCAGGGGACGTGCCCTACCTCAATATGTGCATAATTTTTCTGCCAGCACCATAATATATATGTTAATACACACGCAATTGTAACATTTATAGACAAGTTTGTAAGTTATAGAAAACACAATTAAAAATTAAAAATTAAAAGGAATGAGGAGCTCCATTGCTTGGATGAGTTTACGATATGCTTCTCTCTTACTAATTTATGTTGCCACATTGTACCTTTTCCCTTATGTGGTGATGTAAACTAATAATATATAATACAATTATACAAGAAATGGCTTCTTGCTTTCTTGATCAAGCATATATCTTATAAAAGGTAACTTCTCACTAGCTATACCTATAAATACTACAAGGTTGCAACTACAATTGAGAATTATATGTTTATATACTAAATTACTCACACGTGTTAAGCGTCATTTACATAAATTTGAATGGTAGATTTCATGGCAGATGAGAATTTGGATTGTTTTGATACCACATAATGTCTCCTCTATCATATCAAAACCCTACAATTGCGTCTAACAAATAGTAAACGATTCTTCCCTAATAAAGAAGGATAATCAAATTATTCCCCATAATTAAAGCGGGCAGCTCACCTGCTCGTCACTTCTTTCACTTATATAAGCCCGTATCGTGCACACAACACTCGTCACCCACATCTGCGAATCTCACTTGCTCCGAAACAGCAGCAAATTAAGCACAATGGGCGAGTGCACCGGTGAGGCCTACACTGTCAAGATCACCGCCGAGGACCGAGTCTCCGCTGTCCTCCCTCTCCAAGAGCACTGGCTCCCTCTCTCCAACCTCGATCTCCTCCTCCCTCCGCTGGACGTCGGCGTGTTCTTCTGCTACAAGAACGGCGATACTCTCAGCCGATATCTTGACGATTTTGATGGAATGGTGAGCGTTCTTAAGGCGTCGCTGGCGAAGGCGCTGGTGGCGTACTACCCGCTTGCGGGGGAGGTGGTGGCGAACTCAGCAGGAGAGCCGGAGGTGCTGTGTAATAACAGAGGGGTGGATTTTATTGTGGCGAGTGCTGACGTGGACTTGGAGAGGTTGAATTTGTATAATGCGGATGAGAGCGTGGAGAAGAAGCTGGTGCCGGAGAAGAAGGGAGGAGTCATCAGCGTGCAGGTACTTTGCTTGCTAGCCAGAGTGTGTACGTATTCTTGTTTGTTTGGTTATTTTTTATAGGAATGAGAAGTTTATTCTTAGGAATGATCAGGAGGTTATTCTTGAAGGCACACATACATAGATGCACGAAGAAAGCGCTCATGCATGGATGCATGAAGAAAGGTAAAGCGCTCGTATACATAGATGCGCAAGAAGGTCTCTTATAGGAATCAAAATCAAGATAAATAAATAAAGCGCTCATACATAGATGCATGGAGATGGAGAAAGGCAAAGAAGGTTATGGTAGAAGGGAAAGCGCTCATTTCTTAGGAATGAGAAGTTTATTCTAGAAGGGAAAGTGCTCATACATAGAGGCATGAAGAAAGGCAAGAAGTTGCGTTAGGAATCAACTCAAGATAAATAATTTAACAAAATTTGGATTTTTACATAATTCGCTAATTTGCCTATATCCCTTGTCGCATTAGAACTTCTTTCTATCTCTCATTAAGTTATAATTACAAGAGAAACCTCTCATATATAGATAAATAAGATTAGGACCACAAGATTGATATATAGATAAATAGATATATATATATAGATAGAGATAAGATAGACAGAAATAGATAGATCTACACTTTCGATAATATTCATATGGGAACATAATAAACTTCTAATTGTTGTTTTTATTGTATTTAATTACATGGAAAATTATTTTCTATTTATATCTTTTTATAACATACAATGTAGTAGATATTTAATTAGTGAGCTCTATGATATGCTTTAGAAGGTTTTGGAAATAAAGAAAAACAAAAGAAAAAAAAAATAAAGTTTTGTGTGAAATGACCAAATTGTCCACATGTACTTTAGTGAGATGAAGAATAATTTTTCCATTTCCTTCAAAATTTTCCTGCACTCGCTAAATTTATAATACAGTTGTGCAGATAAGTATAAAAGAAACACCCAACTTTCTTTACGGTAGATGGATTTAATTGGGGATATGCCGTGTAGTTGGATTGCTACATATAGAGCTCTTGAATCAATTTTTTTTTACTCTTTTATTCTTGAAGTAAGAGAAATTGTTTTTTTGACAAATAGATTCTCTTTTTTGGTCTCTCATGAGGTATCCCCACACCTTATTATGGATGACACTAATCTTTATTAGCGCTTCATGCTTGACACTGGTCCGAGAGTTTTTTTTATCTGCTAGCGGATTAGAACATGAGACTAACCCGCTATAAACTGTCCCCCAACAAAAGCGCAGTGAAGCCTTACAAGAGAAGAAAGAGTAAAATAATAATAACAACAACAACACAAAATAATAATACGGGATCTACCTAACATTAATTACACGAAAGCACCAGATACTAACCCTATGTATCTTTCAGGCGACCAAGCTCAAATGCGGCGGCATGGTTCTCGCCTGCACATTCGATCACCGCATCGCCGACGCGTACTCCGCCAACATGTTCCTAGTCCACTGGGCCAAAATCTCATCAACAACTTCCGGAGGCCCAAAGACCAAACGCCCTCTACCAACTGCCCCGTCATTCCGCCGCTCCCTCCTCA